AGTGCCCGGGGTTCAGTACCTGGCTCTGGCTCCCGATCCCAGCCTCCAGCTAATGCAGACCCCAGGAGGCAGTGGAAAGGCTTGAGTCATCGGGTTCCTGACACCCGTGCGAGAGACCCAGACCGAGCTCCTGTATCCTGGCTCTGGCCCTGCTCCAAGCCTAGTCCCAGCTGTTGTGGGCAACTGGGAGTGAAGCAGTGAATGGGAATTCTGTGTCTGCCTCACAAATAAATTTTTTAAGTAAAACAAGATTATTGCCATAGGAGATTATGCCATGGGAAAAGGCAGAAGGAGCTGAAATAGGATGATGGCATTGAGAATGGAAATGAAGGGACAGTTGTGAAAGGTGCTTGGCAGCAGGACGATCCCAGGATATATGACGCTTCTGCCTACCCCAATTTCCAGTGTGTTCTAGTCCAAATCCTAGCGTTTGCAAAACCGTGAGAGCCAGCACTTGGCCATATGCAGGCCAGCAGCTACTGGACTGTTTTGTTTTCATATACCATTTCAAGTAATTCAATGTTTTTTTTTTTTCAGACTAAGCTAATTATTTGAGCACCACACTGAAGGATGATTCTGTAGCACAAATATTTTTAATTTCCTCTTCCCAAGTCATTTTACATTTGTAGGCTTTAAACTATCTTACCATCTGCTGATTCATCATAAATCAATTATTAATAAAGTATTTGATAAGTGGCAAATACATGTAGCATCATTATTTCTGTACTATTGCTAACAAATGTCCATTTCTCACTTCAGTGGTTTATTTACCTTTTGTATTTGCTTAAATTGTTTATTCTTCATATTAAGGGAAGAAAATAAATTTTCAGAACTAGGAAGAAAAGAAATATGACAAATATATTACTAACAAATTAGAACTAGATTACATGGATTTGAGAAAATATAGTAATATTCAAAGCTTTGTTACTGTCACTATTGGGCACTAGCTTGGAATTTGGAATTTTGACACCAGATTTAAAACTAAGAATTAGAAGTATTTAAAATTATAATATAGGCTCGGGCATTTGACACAGTGGTTAAGCTGCCAGCATCCAGAATCAGAGTGCCCAGGTTCACGTCCTGGCTCTGCTCCTGAGTCTCATGGAAATGTGCACTTCAAAGGCAGCAGCTAAGGCTCAAGCAGTTAGGTCCCTGCCACCCACGTTGGAGGCCAGGTTTAAGTTCCTGGCTCCAGGCGTCTGCTTGGCCCAGCCCCAGCTATTGTGGGAATTTGTGGGAGTGAACAGCAGATGGCAGCTCTCTCTCTGTCACTATCTGTCTCTCTGTCTTTCAAACAAATCTTTTTAAAAACATTACAATGCAATGGTGGCAGGGACTAGATTCAACTGCAGACTCAACTGGGTTGCAAGACCAAGATGATCTCTTCATTTGTGTTGTCACGTGTCTTAGAACAGGAATCAGTGTCTCCGTCTCTCCCCATGCAGCCTTTCTACAAGACTAATTCGGGCTTCCTCTCAGTATGGTGGCCTCACAGTACTTGGACTTCTGACACAAGTGGATGCATTGCCCCAGAACATGCATTCCAAGAGCAAGGATTCCGAGAAGTTGGATACAGAAACTTCTAGTCCTTTTGAAGTCTGGAAATGGCACAGTGCTGCGTTCACAGAATTCTATTGGGTAAGTGGTCACAGGGCCATACAGATTCAAAGGGGAGGGGAAACAAACTACATGGGGAGAATGACAAAGATTTTCCCAACATCTTAATTCATAACAATTAACATAAAACGTTTCCTAGGTAAACCAAATGGGGGGAAATGGGAGCTTATGTGAACCAATGTGTATGTAGCATGGTATATTTGCATGGAAAAATCATTTTTCCTTTAAATTTTTGAAAAGATTTATTTATTTGAGAGACAAAGAGGGAAGTCTTCCATCTGCTGGTTCACTCCCCAGATGGCTGTAACAGCCGGAGCTGGGCCAATCCAAGTCAGGAGCCAGGAAATTCTTTCAGGTCTCCCATGCCGGTGCAGGGGCTGAAGCACTTGGGCCATTTTCCACTGCTTTCCCAGGCCATAGCAGAAAGCTGGATCAAGCCGGCGCAGTGGCTCAATAGGCTAATCCTCCACCTAGTGGCGCCGGCACACGGGTTCTAGTCCCGGTCGGGGCGCCGGATTCTGTCCCGGTTGCCCCTCTTCCAGGCCAGCTCTCTGCTGTGGCCAGGGAGTGCAGTGGAGGATGGCCCAAGTGCTTGGGCCCTGCACCCCATGGGAGACCAGGAGAAGCACCTGGCTCCTGCCTTCGGATCAGCACGGTGCGCCGGCCGCAGCATGCCAGCCATGGCAGCCATTGGAGGGTGAACCAACGGCAAAAGGAAGACCTTTCTCTCTGTCTCTCTCTCCTCTCACTATCCACTCTGCCTGTCAAAAAAAAAAAAAAGAAGGAAAAAAAAGGAAAGAAAGCTGGATCAGAAGAGGAGCACCTGGGACACAAACTGGTGTGCATATAGGATGCTGGCGCTACAGGTGGAGGCTTAACTTACTACATCATAATGCCAATCCCTCCTTTAAATTTTTATGTTCACTTTTTTTCTTTTTTGAAAGGTAGAGAGACAGCGACAGGCAGAAAGATATTTCATCCACTGATTCACTCCCCAAATATCTGTAACAGCCAGGACTGGGGCAGCTGAAGCCGGGAGTCGGTAACTCAATCCAGGGCTCCCACTTGGGCAGCAGGGATCCAAGTAGTTGAGCCTCCCAAAGTGTGCATTAGTGGGAATTTAGGATAGGAAGTGGAGTCGGGACTCAAACCCAGGCACCTGATATGGGATGTGGGTGTCCCAGTCTTTTTTTCTTCTTCTAGGATTTGTTTATTTATTTGAAAGAGTTACAGAGAGAGAAAAAGAGGGAGAGACTGAGACAGAGTGAGATTTTCCATCCACGGGTTCATTCCTCAAATGGCCAAAACAGCCAGGACTCAGCCAGGCCAAAGCCAGGAACCAGGAGCTTCACCCGGTCTCTCATGTGGTTGTAGGAGCCCAAGCACTTGGACCATCTTCCGATGCTTTCTTAGGCCATTTAGCAGGGAGCTGGATCAGAATTGAAGCAGCCTGGACTTGAACCGGTGACTGTATGGGGTGTCAGCCTTTCAGGTGGCAGCTTAACCCGCTATACCACAATGCTGGCCCCCCAAAAGAGTCTTAAGCACTGTGCCAAAATCCTGCCCTCATTTTTTTATGTATTAGTAAATGCACATATAATATCTGCAAAGACACACAGGAAACAGAAAATAATGTTTTTTAGGAAGAGGAATTAGATGCCTGGGTGGCACAGATCAGGGAAGACTTCATACCGTGGACCCTTTGCTATGTTTTTAACTTCACATCATGTGTATGTATTACCTATTCAAATCCTAAGTCCATTTTTATGGAGACACAACATTTAGCACAATTTATGTCACGAGTGAAATAAATGCTGCTTGTGGCGGGTAATCCGACAACGTCAGAAACAGCAGCTGTGATCAGTGTGTAGCTTCTTGTTCTTTCAGGTAAAAAGCTTATCTAAAAAAATGATTCTGTTAAAATGGAACCAGCGAAAATTGCATAACAGAACATAAAACACAAACAAACAGCAGCTCTTCAGAGAGTAGCCTTAGGCGGATCTCTACATTCTTTACATTTTCCAGTAGCATAGGAATAATTATTTTAGAAACTCTTGCTCCAACAGGGCACATGACTCTTCATTAGTAATGGTGCAACACTTGTTTATTCAGATTTGAATTAAAAGGAAAGGAAGGAAGGGACAAACGAGGAAGGGAAAGAGGGAGCAACCATTTCTACGTGTGTGAAGTATTTTAATAGAAATAATAGTTACAAAACTAGATGTTTTACTTGATGTGACTATGAATGGTTTCTTCATTTTGATCAACTGTTAGGCTTATTTATAAATTACTGGCGTCACAGCTAATATTAGTAATTTGGGAGCACTAAAAAGAAAACACATCCTAAGAATCATCTTCCAGAAATTGTTGGATAGCTGCAACAGAACAGTAATGAGACAGCTGATTACAAAAATCAGTCATTTTCAGCAACTGCATCTTGAGCCCTTCTGACAGTCTGCTTGTTAGTGAGGAGCAGTTTAAATGGTTTTTCAAATAAGTTAAGAGGTTGAATTCTTTGTGAATATCTTTTCTTTTTTCTGAAAATCCAATACAAATATTGTGTAAGATACAAGATTGCCAAGTCCAATGCAGGCTTTTGAAAGAATACTACTAACTCTTTAGTTGCTGAAGAGTTTCTTTTCATACCCAGAAAATACTCCCGCTGTTCTGAAGAAGTATTTTTGAAGATGCAGAGACAGAATGTTAAGGGAGCTCTTATACAATGTTGCCATTATTTTTCATCACACTATTGCCAAAAAGAAGGGTAGAGCATATGAGTGCTGTAGCAGCTTGTGAATATCTTTGCTTGCAGCAGAATTTAGAAAAAGAAATGATGAATATGTGCCACTTAGAGGAAGGGCATTCTGAAAAAAAACTGCGTTTTATGGAAAAATGGACCCACTGACACCGGAAAGTTTTAAGTTAAATAGGAAAATAAACCAAGGCAGCCTCTCAACATGCTGATACATGAGAGGCAAGGAGAGGTTGAATGCTGTGGACATGGGTTGGGTTTGTGGCCATCCAGCTCCCTCCCCTTCCCTTGTCCCATCAGCAGCTCAGTCTTCCTTTGGAGGGAATTCCATGTTGCATGTTGTGCTGCTGTGTGGGTGTCCCTAGCACAAACCTCCCAGTGCTGAAGTCCAACACAGAAGTAAATGGCCTTCCAGCTGTCCTTTGGTGCCTCTGTGGAACAGACGCATGGCCTAACTTGACCAATAACACTTTCGTTGCTGGGATTTTGCATCTTGAGTACGAGGACTAAAGACAGGGAATGTGGGATTCAGATGCTCCCACCATGGACTTCTGTGTTGCCTCATCTCCATGGTTTTCGAGAACCCTCCAGCCTTCTGTCATTTTGGTGAGTCCTCAGTGCCTGCCTGTATTATTGAGATATGGATTCAGTTGCAGGTAACAAAAATAACAGGCGCTTAATCAGGGCACAAATTTCTTTCTTTCCAATCAAAGCTAAGAGGCCTTGGTATCATGTCTCAGTATACGAATCCTGCTACAGTTTGAATACAGGCATCTGGAACTCAGAATGCTTCAAGCTCTCTGCTTTGCTATCCCTAACGTATGGGCCAAGATGGAGCTCCAGTCTTCACATATGTAATGAAAGAAGTGAAGAAGTCTAGTGCATTGCGTATACTGTGTCCACTTATATCCCATTGATCAGAACCTAATCACATGGCCAGACCTAGCTGCAAGGGAGGCTGGGAAATGTGGTCCTTATTTTTGTAGACCATGTGCCAAGAGTTTTAAAACTAAGTAAAAACAAAAGAATAGAAATTGGGTAACTTAAAGCTTTGTCACTCACTCCTTCCAGAATTACTCTTTTACGCAAGATAGCAAGAGAAGGTGTCCATTACTATCAACAAAGAATCACGTCTGATAACTCAAGCCGCAAATGGTAAGATTTAGGGAGGCAATGTAGCGTAGCAGCCTCTGGCATCACCATACATCCCAAGGTGTGTATCAGAAACTGGCAGTCATCCTTATCTCTTTTGCTCTTTCCATATTCAACCACCCACCCAATTTTCTTCACTCTATCTCCTTAAAAATTCTCAATGCCAGCCCTTTCACTTCATTCCCACACTGCTGCCATGGATCAAGTCTTTGCCATTTTTCGCATCCCAACTCCTACCCACTCACCCCTCTAATTCCACTGCTCTCGTGTGGAGAGCTCTTTCTAAAATCTAACTCTGCACAACATTCCTTCAATCTCCCTGCATAATGCTTTGATCAAGTCTTCAAAAGGATAAATTCCAAACTCAAACTTCCTTGTGTGGCTTCCAGCACCCTTCACTTGTCTCTTGATGTTCCCCATGGGCCGGTACCTATGTGCCTCGTACCCTGAATACTTCCCTCATCCTCAGCCCTGCTTCTGTGAAACGCCCAGGTGATCTGGTTCAGCTTGGCAGGGAAAGAGAATTCTGGACAGCATGCTGTCCAGGCAGATAAGAGAACTAGCAGGGGCATTTTATGAATGAGAGATGAAGCACGGTGACTACATCATTATTCACGTTCGTTTCTGTGCCATATACCGATAGCAATCACACATCGGTAAAATGACGCATCACTAGAAATCATGGAGAAACGCTGGATGATCCTATTCTCTGATCTACATCTATTTCAACATTCTTCAGTAATATAATTCCACATAAGTCATCTGTATGAGTGCAAGATACTACAACCTAGTATATTCAGAAATTATAGATCAATGCATGAAGGATACTTTTCGGTTTGTCAAAATATTGCACCATATACAGATACCAAGTAAATGTAACATTGTAATAGCAAATCATTACACTCTGATAGAACAGAAGGAAGGAAATGCAAATAGCATTAATGATGAATATGAAATGAAGCAATGTTTTCCCATCAGGATGATAGTGAGTAAAATGAGACGATGGCATAAGGACATTTGCTGTGTGAATTTCTGCAGTAGGATAAATTCCTACATGGATCACAAAGTCAGATGACGTAGGATTAAACTGAAAGGAAGTAGACATGAGGAAGTTGCTGATGAAAGATCCTTCCAAGGATGGATTCCTGAGTACATCACAGACTTTCACTGGGGTGGATAGTGACCTGCACAGGGTGACTTAACTATGGATCTGCCCAGAGACATGGGGCTGAGTTGACAACTCTGGACTAGGATTTTATAGTTCTATTGAAAAGAATATAAAACCTGCAGAGTTTTAAATTTATTATAAGGCATATAATGAAATGCATCTATATAGAGATCAAATTGTTGATTTGTAGATCTGAGATCTATAGCCTGGATTTTGTGGGATCCAGGTGCTAGGCAACCTCTTTAGGAAATTTTATTATAAAAAGCCTGATATAAAAATAATCACACATTTGATATTTCTTAGCAACGAATACTTTGCTTCACTTAAAGGCATACCACATCACATGAACATGACATTATGCACAAATGATTTAGGTTGCCTTTTTTTTTTTTTTTTGACAGGCAGAGTTAGACAGTGAGAGACAGAAAGGTCTTCCTTTTCCATTGGTTCACCCCCCAAATGGCCGCTACAGCCGGCGCGCTGCACTGATCCGAAGCCAGGAGCCAGGTGCTTCTTCCTGGTCTCCTATGTGGGTGCAGGGCCCAAGCACTTGGGCCATCCTCCACTCCCTTCTGGGCTACAGCACAAAGCTGGCCTGGAAGAGGAGCAACCGGGACAGAATCTGGCGCTGCAACTGGAACTAGAACCCAGGGTGCCGGCACCGCAGGTGGAGGATTAGCCAAGTGAGCTGCGGCGCTGGCCTAGTCTGCTCTTTTATACCCAAATGTAACATTACTAATGTAAAAAGTTAGCCTTTTTAATAAGGTTACAGGCAGAGGGGAGGGAATAAAATCATAATTCCCCATAGTTCAGTGCACTCATATGACTGTTTGATGCAGGCTAGTGAGTAATCATTTGCAAATCAATTTTGGATAAAAAAATTCTTTCATCATCACACTGATATAAAACATTGAAAATAGCAGAGTCAAAGAGGCAAGTAAAAAAGGAACTTGTTTTATTTATAGGCATTTATCTGCAGGCATTAAAATGCAAGCACAAATAGCTCTGTTTAAAAAATCATAGACTTTTATACATGTATATTATAATGTGTAATACACACACACAGTTCATAGACAGAATATACCAAATATCTTTCAAAATGTTTCAACTAAGAAAAGTAGTCTAGTATAGTTCTTCCCAGTCTTTTAACTTCATAACATAAAACAAATATCATATAGGACTTTTTCTCTTAAGTGTTTACTTGCATGATTGCAGACTTATAGGAAAGTAGCAAAAATTACACAAAGAACTACCTTCTGTCCTTCACCCAGATTCTTCAAAATTTTAATATTAGGGTTTCTTGATAATGACCTTTTTGAATAAAGATTGGTCATCTTGTAGAACTTCCCTTAATTTGATGCCTCATCATGACTAAGTTCAAGTGATGCTTTTTTTTGGCCCAAATGCCAAATGCCATGAGTAATGAGATGTTGGTCTCCATGTCCCCCCTCAGAGGGGCACGAGAGGCCAGAATGTCTCATGACTGACTAGGTTAACTTTGACCATGGGCACAGAGTTTTGCAAACTAAATTTTCATTCACAATAAAATTATATATTTCTCATGTCTTAAAATTCTTAGAAACATCCCACTGTAACATATTTCATTTATGGGTGTGTCATAATTTGTTAATCATATTTTTATTTTATACATCATCATATTGGTAAGCATTTCCAGAATAATATCATAAAACAATGGAATTTATGGACATTTTGTGGCACTCCTGATCTTAATGAAAATATTCGTCATGTTTTACTAGGAAGTGTTTTATTGGCTGTTGGTTTGAAATCAGCTTTTCATACTGTTAGGGAAATACTCCTGTCGGTATGATTAAAATTCAAGAGCCAAGAAATATCTGGTGTTCAATTAGCTCATTCATTTATGGCTATAAGCCTGTGACTGCACCCCTCACACATCAACATACGCAGGTGTTACGCATGCATCTGAGCTGTACTGCTTGGCCATCCTTTGTCTTGGCCTCTGGAACTTGCCATTCAAAAACGGGTCCCTTAGCTTCTCTCTTTCTCAGAACAAATGTATTTCGTCAGCAATTGCAAGCCTTGCCCTCTCCACTCTGGGTTTTGTCTAGCTGAGGCCTTGGCTGAGGGGCAGCTCCCTTTGTTTAACTGGGCAGGGGTGTAAGTTGCCATCATTTCTCTGGTGAACGCTAACTGGTTGAGGATACTGTGTTAGTTCAAGACCTCCAAGACAATGCTGTGGCAGAGTTAGGAGGACATGAGGTTTATCGAGGGTTTAACTTGCCAAAGATAAAAGGTGGGGTGAGAGATGCAGGACCCAACAGAGAAAACCATGGACTGTGACACAGTTTGAACACAGTCTCAGCTAAGCTCGGGGGCTCTGGAACACTCACAGTCTGGGCAGAAATGGCCAGGTCTTAGTATCCCCATGTGCTGTCACTGGCTGGGGGCGACCCAAGAACAGCACACACCCCAGCTCAGACACTGCATCCTGAAGACACGGTAGCCACAGGTTGTCAGCCACTGTTCCCCTGCACCAAACACTTCCTGGGATGGTGACTGGGCAGTTCAGCACCACAACCACCACAGGTTCTTCCATGTGGGAGGTACCCAGGTGCCTACTCCCTCCTGACACTACTGTGTGAGTTCTTTGAGAGCTTGGTGGTCACAATTCCATTCCCAGGCCTGGGAAGCCCAGCTCCAGCTTAGCTTCTGTCACCCTGTCCCCACGTCTTAGCATTAGTGGACACACACAGCCTCTTGGTGCTGGGGAATCTCCAGTCAGGATAGGTCTCTTGGATGGGTAGTTGCACGCACACCTTTGGGAAATGCTTGTCTCCTCATCCTGATGCATGGGGATGTGGGCTGTTCCACCAGACCCTGTCTCTGCCCCAGCATCTCTCCTGCTCACTCCTCCCTTGCTCAGACATGCACAGGTGAGAGATGAGGTATGTTGCCAGAGAAGCTGTCCACCTGGGATTGAAACACCAGTCACTCCTTGCAGGCACCCCCTGCATCTCCCATTTCACTTGGTGTGCCCTGCTCTTCACAGGACACTGCACGCCCCACCAGGCCTGCGGCTCTCCTCTCCCCTGATACCCACAGGTCCGCAATTGTGCTTTCTTAAGTGAGTGATCAAGGGGAAGAGTTCTAGAACACACTGCAGGACTGTACATGGCCCACGTGCAGCCTTAAATGACAATCACTCTTTATGTACATTGTAGCAGGGGGAAAATAGGGGGGTGTTCAAAACCAGGGTTGTAGGAACAGACTATACTCATAGACCATCAGAGAAATGAATTGGATTGAGAATCCTAAGGATTCTGTTAACTCTTTTAGGAACAGACAAGCAAATAATGCTAATCAAACTGGTAGACATTTGTAATTTGCCTTTCAAGCATTTATTATTCCTTTGCCAAGTCACAGCTGGGGTTACTGCATACGGGGTGTGTCCTGCACAGCTCCACTGGGCGCCAATCACATTGCAGGCTATGGAAATGGTGATGCTTGGAGCTGCTCAGTGTACTGCGGCACTGCATTCACAGCAGCCCTGTCTCAGTCCCAGCTTTCCTGTGCGGCCTCGCTCACCCTCTCACAGTCAGTGCAGTCAGGTCTGACATTGTCTTTCGCTCTGGAGTTAGAGCACAGGACAGGGCCTGATGCATCCCATTCCCCTGGCCTCTGGGTCAAGGCGGCATAAATGAATTAAATCTAATCCAGTCCAATCAACTGGATCGCAGAACTCTGGATGGGAATCTGCAGCCTTGAGACATAATTTTCCAAACAAAAACCTCGATTTTTCCCCATACTAATGAAGGCAGCCACTATCAGTTAAATGTGTTAAAATGAAGGGGTTTTGGATTCTTCCTGGCAACGATGGTATGTTCACTCATTTACTCACTCTCTTGTCTGGTCTCTCTTATGCCCTTCTGACACCATTGAGATTGGGCTGCTGAGAGTCTAGTATGTATGATCTTAGGAAAAAACTTTCCTTTGGCCCAAAGAGAAGATGAACTACAAGCACTGCCATAATCTCTAAATAACCAGTCAAGGCTCAAACAAAACACATGATAATGTATCAGGAGGCAGTGAGTTCCCCGTCACCGCAGGGGATCACACCCAGGCTGGGCATTCACTTACAAACCCTGTAGCAGAGGATTCAAATGTCCACAGGAGTTAGGACCATTAGATTGCCAAGCTGATGTCTTTCCCATGGGCTTTTAAAATAGTGAAGATATTCAAACATATGCACACAAACAGAAACATGATATTCTCAGAATTAAATAGATTGTGCTATAGATTTGCCTCCAAAATTTTTTGGAAGCCTGGGAGTGTGAAGATGCCTTCCTTTGCAGAGTATCTTTCAGCTGCCAGTAAGTCAAGATTATGAACCAGGTTCTCGGCTGGTTCTCCTCACAATTTTGTGCAGATAGTCAGTTTCTTTGTGCATTATGTTATTTTTATGTCACTAATTTAAAATTTTATGAAGTCTCCTCCCATATATTTTCCCCAGATAGCTATCTAAAAAGCACATACACAACACAGTGACTAATTTTTTTGTCATTTATGTCTTTTGCTTCACCAATTTATTTACAGATTTACGGCTCATTGACTTTCACAGTTTGAAAATTAATGCTACATCAATACTCCGTATACATTTATTATGATTTTACTGTAAATTATTTTGCAATAGATTGTTTGACTGACATAGTGTAAAACTATTGTATATACATGAAAACATTAAGCAAGTTGAAGGCATAAAATCAGCTAGCACCCTAATGTAGCAGCTTTTGAGTGAGAAACTATATAGCATTTTTATGTAGCATATGGGAAAACTGTGTGGCATGGGAGTTTTTAGCATTAATTCTACAGTTGTACTAAATCTAACATGCCAGTCTCTCTCCACACTCCAGCCAGATTTAAAGTGCTAAATTTTCACTGCTGCATGGAATGCTGAATTATCTAACTCGGAGGTGTTCGAGGAAGCCCAGCTCCATACAGCGCGTCAGGACTATTTAGCATCTATACATGGAAATCATCTGAACAGCCGGCTATTCCAAAATGTGGTTTTCTTTCAAATCCAGGAGTCTCTCCAAAATCGCTCTAATGAGAAGAAAACGCATTTTTCAAACCTGGTCACCATCCTTTCAGGTCTTACCTTTTATTTCTCATTTCTCTGCTTTTGACAAATCGTAAACTGGGAACCACACAATTGACTTAGGTAAAGAAGAAAACATACATAATAGCCATAGTATTTTCAGGGACACAAGTGCGAGGAATCTTCAAAAGTTCATGAAGAGACAGGCAGCTGGCGTGGCTAAGTTGTTCACATCCCGAATCAGAGTCCCTGGGTTCTACACCCAGCTCTAGCTCCCAACTTCAGCCTCATGTTAATGCAGCTCTTGGGAGGCAGCAGGCAATGGCTCAGCTACTTGGATCCCTGTCACCCATGTAGGAGACCTGGACTGAGTTCCTGGCTCCCAGCTTCCACAGGGTCCTACCCTGGATATTGTGGGCATTTGAGGAGTGAGCCAACAAACAAAGCATGCTCTCTGTATCTGTCTCTGTCAGTCTCTCTCCTTCTCTCTCTCAAATAAATTTAAAAAATAAAGTTCATGGAAAATGTACAGTATGAAAAAAATTGTGTGGATTTCAAAATTTTTTGCACCAATTTATCTCTTAATTCCATTTTCCACAGACTTTTTGAAGTCTCCTCATACAGTTCAATGAATTTTCACCAGATGAACATACCCCTGTAATCCTCAACCAGATCAAGGCACAAGATATTACCAGCTCCCCAGAGGCACCTGTCATGCTTGTTTATAGTCACTAACCACTCATCGCCAAGGTAAACACTACCCCAACTTCAATCTCATCACTCCTATCTGTTTCCATCCTTTGCAGGAATGGGATAATACATTAGTACCTCTGGGAATGACTTCACCCACTCAGTTTAGGTTTGTGGAGTGCAGCCATGCTGGTGCATGCAGTTTTGTTCCTTCTCAATGTTGTGTATCACTCCACTGTGCGCCCCAATTTATCTTCTGTTGATGAGCACATAGCAAGTTTGGCTATTATGAACAGTGCTGCTACGAACAATGTAGAGCATGGCTTTTAGTGAATGTAAGGATGCCTTTTTGTTGGGTAAAATGACTACTTTAATTACACAGTGCTCTGGCTATATATGGATAAAACAGAAAGTCCCTCTCTGGTCCGTGCTGCTCAGTATTGTGGACAACATCTTTCTGCTAGAGATGATATTGGGAAGGCAGCCTAGACTTCCAGATACAAGGACGTGACATTTCAAAACATCCTAAGAAGACATTTGGAACACATTTCATCTTTATAGATTTAAAGTCTTGCACTCAGGGGGCTGGTGTTGTGGTGTGGTGTGGTATGGTGTGTGAAAGCCACCACTTGCCATGCCAGCATCCCATTTCGGTGCTGGTTTGTGTCCCGGCTGCTCCACTTCCGATCCTGTTAATGGCCTGAGAAAAGCAGTGGAAGATGGTCCAAGTACGTGGACTCTTGCCACCCATGTGGGAGACCCAAAAGGAGCTCCTGGCTTCACCTGGCCAACTCTGGCTGTTGTGGCCATCTGGGGAGTGAACCAGCCAGATGGAAGATTTCCCTCTCTCCCTCTGTCTCTCTCTCTGTACCTCTGCTTTTCAAATAAATATACCAATCTTTAAAAATAAATAAAAATAAAGTACTGCACTCAGGAGTGCAAGAAATCATCTTCATGTTTCTGTCACTGCATTTAATTTCTATTTTGAGCCCGCATTCTGCCCACTGGCAGAAACCTAACCTCAGTAAATGCAGAATGCCCTTTCCTGTCTTTATTGTGCTGCACCTAAATTCCAGAGGCAAACAAGATGCTGGGGCCTCTTGCTGCCATCCATTTAGGCTGACATGTGCTAAGACACCTCCTTCCAGCCTGGTCCCAGCTGGGTACTGGGGGCCTTTCCTGGGCCAGTTTTCAGGGCCCCATCAGTTGTGATGGCTCCCTTGCTGGAGGGAGCCTCCGGTGAGCAGGTTGGTTGCCTACACACTCCATGCACACATTCACGTGTACACTTCCTTTGTGTCCACACCCTGCTGCACCCTGGATTAGCCTACAGTTGAGTAGGTAGTCTAGCTTTTCTTTTCTTCGTCTTTTCTTTTTCTTTAAAGGTTTTATTTATTTAAAAGTCAGAGTTATAGAGAAACAGAGTGGGAGAGAGAGATCTTCCATCTGTGGTTCACTAACCAAATGGTCACAATGGCCGGGCTGTGCCAGGCCAAAGCCAGGAGCCAGGAGCTTCATCTGGGTCTCCCATGTGGGTGCAAGGGCCCAACAAGTTGGACCATCCTCTGTTGCTTTCCCAGGCTCATTAGCAGGGAGCTGAATTGTAGTAGCTCAGCCAGAACTTGAACTGATGCCCCTACAGGATGATAGTAGCTTTACCCACTGCACCACTGCACTGGCCCTAGACTAGCTTTTCATCTACTCTTCCAAATTCAATGTTGATGGTATGAACTCTATACCATAAACCCTCTAGGCCTTGGGTTTTTGAAACTCAAAAGCCCAAGTTCTTATAACTCAAAAGCTTTTTACCCATTATCATCCTTTGCTTGAGGCAATGAATGCTGATTACTGCAGAGTAGAGGAGCAAGGAGAAGGGAATCCTGTTTCACCACTTAAATACGTGTGTCATTCTGCCACTTCCCTGAATCTTTTCTTCTTTCTTTTTTGAAGTTTTTTTTTTTTTATTAGTTATTTGAAAGGCAGAATGATGTGGGGGGCAGGAAAGGAAGAGAGATCTTCCGCTGGTTCATGCAATGGCTGGAGCTTGGCCAGGCCAAAGCCAGGAACCTGGAATTCCATCTAAGTCTCCTACATGGATGGTGGGGGCCCAAGTACTTGGGTCACCTTCTGCTGCCTCCCCAGGTGCACTAGCAGGCAGTTAGATTGGAAGTAGAACAGCCAGGACTTGAACCTGCGCTCATATGGGATGATGGTGTTGTAGGTGGCAGGTTAACCTGCTGTACCACAATGTTGGCCACCCCTGAATCCTTTTAAAACTTCTTAATTTTTAAAAAAGATTTTTTATTTCAAATGCAGAGCATTTATAGAGAGGGAGAGGCAGGGAGAGAGAAAGAGAAGTCTTCCATCTGCTGGTTCACTCCCCAAATGGCTGCAACAGCCTGGGCTGGGCCAGATTGAAGCCAGGAGCCAGGGCTTCTTCCAGATCTCCTATGTGAGTGCAGGGGCCCAAGAACTTGGACCATCTTCTGCTGCTTTCCCAGGTGCATTAGCAGGGAGCTGGATTGGAAGTGGAGCAGCTGGGACTCGAACCGGCACCCATATGGGATGCCAGTGTCTCAGGTGGTGGCTTTATCTGCTATATCACAATGTTGGCCCTAGAACTTCTTAAGAAACAAAAAAAGTTTACAATTCTACTCCATGATTACAACTAGACTTACATCAGATTGTATTTAGTGGTGACTTTTGGGAAATTGATGGCTGTTTATTGTTTCTGACACCATTTCAAAACTATGAAGAAAAGAAAATTCAATAACTGCATACCACCACTAGCTACCATTCATTGAGCACTGCTTATGGCAGTGCATGGCTGCAGACATTGGATATACTTTCTTATTTAACATTACAATGATGCTGGAAAGGAGGGTCTCACCTCCTCACTTTGCTGATGGCAACACTAAGGCCCAGATAAGTAAACTAGCTTGTGCAAGATCACAGAACTAGGATTTGAACCCACTCAACCAAGATCATGCAATGAACCCTGAGTTAATGTAAATGACCACTGGAATGCACTACATCAATGCAGAGAAAGGAAAGGATCTGGAGACTATGTCACCACTTTGTCCAACATGTTACATCTAGGGCAGGCCTTTGGTACAGTGTTTAAGACACCACTTGGAATACTTGCATCCCATAATGAGGCACCTGTGTTCAAGTCCTGGCTCTGTTTCTGATCCAGGCTTCTGCCAATACATACTATGGGAAGGCAGCAGAAGATGTTCAAGTACTTGGGTCCCTGCCACCCACATGGGAGATCCAAACTGAGTTTCAGACTCCTGGTCTCAGCCTGGCCCAACCCTGGCAGTTGCAGGCATTTGGGAGGTAACCCAGTAAACAGAAGATCTCTGTCTCTCTCTATGCCTTTCAAATAAGCTGAAAATAAAAATTTTAAAAACCCAAGTTGCATCCAATTTTACGATTCCTTGAATCCAGGAAGAAGTGCCCCTTCAAATGAGGAAAACTGACAGCGCCCACTCTCTATTCTATAGTTTGGATCCTGATTTTCACAGATTATATGACTAGAGCATTCTGTTAAATAGCAGAATAAATGGAATTATTTCTCATAATTTTTATGGTTAATTTACAACATATAAAATGATACATAAGCAGGAAATCATCAAAAATGTTTGCAGAAGGCTTATGAACTGCAATGATACAAAGGACACACAGAGAGTAGACAATCCCAAGTGCTATAGTACTTGAGCAAATGTTTTTAATGGAACTTAAGTCTAGTTAATGCCTTCAAAAATAAGGGCAGATGGCTGTTTGAGTCTGATCCATGAGAAAGCTCTTCCTCTCTTTCTCTTCCTCCACACTCAGAGTGACCTATTCCCAAACCTCCCTCCTCCTGCTGTCTTTTCTCTCTGAGTTTCCGTGTCCACAGGTAAAACAATTATAGGGTTTGCCAGCTTCCAACCCAAGAGACTCCGTGACTAAATAATTAGTTCAGCCAGTAAAGACCTTTCCTCCTTAGAAAGGTTGTGAGGGCAGGAGCAGCAACAGAAAGCACTCAGAACAATATTTTTTTCCATTTCACCTATTATGAAGGTACTTCAAAGTTTACAGAAAGTGGGATTAAAATTTATTTTGGTAGAAAATTTTTCAAAACCCATGCAGATGAGAGGTCTTCAAAAAGTAAAGAGAGGAACTGGGGCTGTGGCGTAGCAGGTAAAGCCAATAACTGCAGTGCCAGCATCCCATATGAGCGCCGGTTCAAGTCCTGGGTGCTCTACCTCCAATCTAGCTCTCTGCTATGGCCTTGGAAAGCAGTGGAAGATTGCCCACGTCCTTGGGCCCC